GATTTTCTTTCTTTCTTTTCATTGTCAACCTTTTTGTCTCTTTTTGTTTTCTACAACTACCCATTGTTGTCCAATGTTTCCTTTTTTAACCAATTTGACGGTAACTTTTAACCGAATTTCTCATTTTATCTGTTACCGTAAAACCTGCAATAGAAGGGCTCCCACACTGACAAGTTTTAGCTCAATTATTTCAATTCTTATGCAATATGTCAAAAATGTGACAACTTACAAAATACTTCTGATATTATGATAAATATTTTATCAGTTGACAACTTTTTCATATCTTTGACAGGAACCGAGATAAATTGACTCGAACTTGAAAGTATGGGAGCCCTTCTGTTAAAAGTTTTGGGGTATTCAGCATTTTTTAAATGATTCATCGTGATTCTGTCCAAAGATCTTCCCCTATTCCTTAACAGTGAACCCATTAGAAGAGAATGATAGACTCCATTATCCTCACTTGTTTCATTAATGGATTCAATCTGTTCCGAAGCGATATCCACCAGGTTACGATACCTTGTTTCTTATCTCTCAGAACGTTCCGTTTTTTACATTCTGTCTAGTCTAACAGATGCTGTTCAGGATCACCTGTTTCCGCCTTCTCTCACAATCCCATCGAAAAGAAAAATGACGTTCCCTGTGCTTTCAAGGTTGAAATCATTATTTTTGTTTGATTCCTGTCGTTTGGAATGACTTTATTTCTTTGTGAAAGGGTACATTCTGGCAATGTGATCAACTTCTTTTGTCGAATTATTTCTATCATAAATCTTCCACATGGGTCAACCATTTATCAGAATTCTATGAAACACACTCATCCAAAAACCTTTAAATTGTTGTATTTCTCTAAATGACATGAGCCCTATGATCTCGCTATCTGTAGATATGAACTTTTAAAAAATGTTTCTTAAAGCTTTCACAGATAACGCAAGATTGCCTAAAAAGCGACCGAACGGCGCCTGAAGGTTTACTATTAGCTGTTTGCTAAAAATTGCGTCTTCAAGCAAATCGAAAAATCCATCCAATAAAAAAAGTTATTTCTTTTTTTTCAAAAATTACGGTTTTACATTATTTCCGACTACTTGCTTGTCTTACTTTGTATTACAAATATTTCCTCATGGGCACGCAAATTCAGCCAATTCTTAAACCTTCAGCCGCCGTTCCTCCGCATTTTGTTTACCCCGCTTTACCTGTGATTAATAATTTCTTCAGTAAAATGAATCTTCAGAACATTTCCCACCTATTTTCCTTCTTTGATCGTTCGCTCTTAATCTACATTTCTATTGTATTTCGTGTCAACAAATCCATTTCTCTCGTGTGTTCTTTCTCATTGTGTTCTGATTCCATTGTGTTCTGATTTCAGATGGCAGTCGTAGCGTCGACATCAGATGATTTCTATGCAAATTATGCGTTCGAAACGTCTGACCCGAAAAATGAAAACTCCATCAGGGTTGGTGAATGAAAAATTATTTAAAAATGTAAACTTTTTTAGGTACCCCGCAATACAACAGAAAATCGAAGGCTGAAATATGGTCACACAGAAGATGATAACTCAGATATTGCATATTTAAATTTTCCAGTAATTGTTCCTTCTCTCATATTTACCGTCATTTCTATGGGATGTTTCATAGGCAAGTCTTAATGATTTAGTACAGAAAGTTGATTTTTTTTCTATTCAGGTGGGATAATAACATCACTAACAACAGATTATATTCCTGATGAACGGGAATTAATACGAGGGTACGTCATTGAATACGGTAGCAGCCGTTTCCGATGTAATGTAAGTTTTCTTTCTTCTCTTTCCCGTAGTGCTACTCTCCTCTGTTCTACTTATCGGTCCGTCAATAGTGTATATTATTGACTACTCTGTCTTTCGCAGCACGGATGGCCGAGTGGTCTAAGGCACCAGACTCAAGCGTTAGCTTGCCTCAAGTTCGAGGTTAACTGGGTGTTCTGGTACTCGTATGGGTGCGTAGGTTCGAATCTCACTTCGTGCAGGAATTTTTGGTTCTTAACATTATTATATTTTTCAGTCTACTATTCCATTCCCAGTTGTGGACTACCATCAATTTTGAATTTATTCGAGTTGAATGTAATTGGAAACGTATTGTTTCGATATGCGGTATGTATTCCAGTTGTTATCAGAGTATTCAATGCTCTAACTGTCAGGTTTGAAGAATAATTCGAAACTCAGATTATATTGTTATTTTGTTTTAAAGAAACCTTCTTCGTCATGAATATTCCACAAAGTTCTCTTCTCTACACAAAGTAATGGCTGATTCGATGCCGATTTTCACATTTGTCGAGGCTCTTATGATGTCTCTTTTCAGTATTGTTACTGTTCATGAAGATTTTCCTGGTATGTTATTGTGCTTCGACTTCTGGTATACGGTATTATTTTTGTTTCAGAAGCTAATAGATTTTTCAAAATAGTGTTTGCAATGTCCTCTGTGGTCAACATGCTTACAACTACAACTGTGATGTTTGCTTTCTCTTCAAATGCTGAGAGCGTAAGTTTCAACTTTCTTGTAATTTTTTCAAAAAATAATTTTTTAGAAATGGGACACAATTTCAATGATCATGAAGTTGATTTCTGTAGTAATTTATGTCTATTTTATGCCTCAATACATTCAATATCATCAATCTTCAATCACATTCCCCATTTGCCATTCATACAGTAAGTTTTCAAACCTAAAAGCAATTTTTAAATTCAGAAACCTTAACTATTTCGAAATTTTTTAAATTTCGAAAATTGAATTTGACGAATTTCAAATTTCTTCAATTGTTTTCTAAAATTTTTTCGAAAATATTGAGTTAAAACACATTTGAACCAAAAAATTTGGTCATTCATTGGATGGCACAGAACAAAAAATATTTTTGAACAATACTTCTGAAAAGTTTTGAGTGTATCCTTCGAATTTAAAATTACAAAAATATAATTAAATTTTTCGTCATAGATCCCTTCATAAGGGAGAGAATATCGCCGGATACTGGAAACTCATAGGTACGGCGAGGTTGCCGAAGGGTTATAAACGGCGGCTGAAATTCTATGAGTTGGCTATAACTTGAGTATTTAAGCGAATAGGAGAGAAATTTTTTTAAAAATTTTATTAAAAAGTCTGGAAACAAATCATTAGTAGTCAAAGCAGAATGAAAAATATATTTTTTGGAAATTCAAAAATTTCGAAAATCATAAAAACCGATGCAGTAGGCAAGGAACTGGATAACTGTTTCCCGGTGTATCTGTTTTCTGAATGTCTGAAAATATTTTTGGATGTGTCAATAGTTACTTTCAGTCCAGGTTTCATAAATTTTTATCCAAAAAAATCCGTTTTAGACTTTCAAAACACCATGTTACACGTTACACCGGAAAAATTCTCATTTTTTCTAGCGTTTTTAATTTCACTCATACAATTTCTGAAGTCGTATTTTTAAACTCAAAAAAATATTTTTCGTTTAATGTCGACTTAAAAAATAGCCAAATTCTTTCAGTGCCCCAACTGTTCGCTCTAATGGAATACGTCATCATCGCTGCTTATGCAGCTTTCCATCTCTCTTTTCTCATTGATATTCGAAATATTTCATTCATTTGCTTCCCGAGATCTGCCAGTGGAGAATGCGAACCAGTCGATCCAACCAACTTCAAAAAGGGTGCCAAATATGAGCACTGCAGAGCTTTCGAGTATAATCAGCGGAGAATCATGAGCTTGTAAAATTAATTTTGTAATTTTTTTTCTAATTGTTCGGCTAATTGACATAAAAAAAGAAACCTTAAAAGAAAAATGGTTTATATACAATATGAAGAAAAGAAACACCGATTTTTAATAGTAGACCAAAAATGTTACAGAGAAAAAGAGAATTAATGTGCAATAAGATACTTGACATGAAACTCCATAGCACATGAAAAATTGACACTAATTAAGACTTGTTAAGAGAGGGAAGGAGGAAGGAACACACTCGTAGTCATGTTTAGAAAACCCGTCAACCCTTAGAAATGAAATCAATCGGGTCAGTGCTTTGAAGAGTAGTAGATGAAGTCATTACCAATGATAATACCGCGTACAAAATAAAGAACCAGGGAATTGCGAAAGGAGCTACTCAATGGAAAAAACAAAAGGACATAATCATGAGTTTGATCGGGATAAGGAAATAGAAATGGTAAAAATGGGGTTAACGGCAAAATTAAATCACAATGTTGGTTGATTAATTAAGAGGTTTTCTTCTATTCATCATCTGATAAATCTTCATAGACTAGATTTCTGAGAGGTTTCGTGTAAGAAGTTATCTTCGGAAGTGTATTCTGGGGTTGATCAGCAAGTGGGAACTTGATTTGTTTGTGTTCGAAATCTACCTCTCCGGTTGCACGGAAATCAATTATTGAACGATATTTCGTTCTGTCTGAAAACAAAAAAATCCGATTCCTGAATAAAAGTGTTTATACAACTAACCTCCAGGAGCAGGTGGTTGTCTGTTTGCAGCCAAATGATTCATTCGACTCTCATCGTCGCCAGAGAACCCATTGGATAATCTCGAATTTACAGACGACGGTTTTGCAGGAATCGCAGGTGCAGCTTGTGGAACGGGTGGAACAGTTTGAATAGCTACCGATGGAGAAGGAATCGCGTGAGGAGTGGCTGTCACTGGAATTCCGGTTGAAAGTGGCACAGAGGTTTGTGGGAGCTGAGGAGCGGATGCAGAAGACGTCACTGTTGATGTAGAGGTGGAAGGTAGAGGGTTTGCAAACATGTTGGCAGTTGTTGGGATTGGACGAATCACTTCTTGGGGAAACGTCTGAGACGAAGAAGATAGTTATGTGAAAAAATATTGAAATTAACTTACGAGAAGTTGAAACTTTTTGTCATATGCTTCCTGTTTGTTTGATTGATTTGGTTGCTGCCCTGGCTGAGCTGGCTTCGACAGTTGAGAAAATTGCAGATTCTGTTCAGCCATCATCTTTTGAATGTTCGGTTGCCGTAGATATTGCTGGATGCAGTTTGGATTGAGGTTCAGCTGCTGTATCCTGGCTTGCATAGAAGCATCTTGGTTCAATTTGCAAAATTCTTCATAACGCCTCTCGTCAAGTCTGGCTGCTTCCTTGTAGATTTCCATGTAGTTGACTTCTGTTCCATTTGCCGCCGCAGCATTCTCACCTTTGCTGACTAAACCAGTTACTGTCTTTTCGATTGCTGGCTCGCTGGCTTCGTTGGCAAGTATCAATGCCAGACATTCTTTAGCTTCTTCAACCGTATTCACTTCAGGAACTTTAGTGAGACGAAGAGAATAATCAACACCCAAATGCTTCGCCATAAGGTACCCTTTAGCAGATGTTGGTCTGCAGAGTGGTTCAAGCCGCTGTATCTTCTTTGGAGCTGGTTTTGCCGACTGCCCTTCCCAGACAACTTCGATATCGTCCGAATTGTTCGTATTAGCAGGAGAAACAGCGTTCGAGTTGTTCGCTTGAAGTTTAGCTTGTAAAAAGTGTTGTTGAGCCGATTTAGCAAGTTCCTTCACTATGTCTCCAGCATTCTGAAACGTACAACTCAATTTGATGAAATCAGACTAATTCGAATTTCAATCTAGAATAAAATTGATATTCCATAAAATTGGATTGTTAGAAGGCGAGAAGGGAAGAACAAACAAGCGTTGTGACTCATTTGCTTAGTCATATCAGACGAAAAAAAACCCTCAGTTTCTTGTGACAAGACAAAACGAATTCAAAACTAGTCATCTAAAACGTTTCAAGAAATAGAGAAATACCTTATTAACCGCTTCCGAACCCAACGGATGTCCCGATGTTCCAGCAGTTATACTACGACCAGCACTAGTCTGAAAATTGAATATTGAGAACTTCTCAGCTTTGATTTATTCAAACATACTGTTTGGGGAGCAATTCTTGAGACAGAAAGTGCTGGGCTGACTCCCCTTGCCCCTTGGATTCGTGAAGTAGAAGGACCAGCCAATGCATGTCTATGGGGTGCAGCTGCCTGCATACTTGTGATACTCTCGATTCCAGACTTCCGCTTCGATTTTGTTTCTTGTTGAGCTGTTTGCTTTTGCTGCATTTGATGTAGATTCATTGCCAATTGTTGTTGCAGTATTTTCTGTTGTTGCTCTTGAAGTTGTCGATCCCGCTCAGATGCCTAAAATTCAAACTATTAGCTTCCAGAAAATTGTGATAATTGAGCATGCTCAAATATCAAGAACGACACTCAGACACTTGGGAGCAAATGGGATGATTGGAATTAACTTTGGGTATTGTTGGGAAATTCACACAAACCGATTTATTCTGATATGCTGCCAGATCTTGAGGTAAAAGTCCAGCAGGATATGGGAGAGGTAGTGATTGTGTCGTATGAACAGATGAGATCGGGATAACTGGAGAAGGCTGAGCACTCGACGCGTGAGATGCACCATTTCGTTTTTGGGCTGTTGAATTCGTTTCCAGCTTTCTTTTTTGTGACGAAACTTGAACATTAAGCTGGTGCTGTTGGTGTTGCAGAGCATGCTGTTGCTGTAGGAGCTGTTGATGTTGTTGTTGCTGAATTATGGCAGCAGATTGCGACTGCTGTGCTGGATACTGCAAAACGGAACAAGAAGGTCAAAAGTTGAAGAAGACTGTGCAGAAGTAGAGGATAGAAATTTAAAGGGATGGATTGGTCTTGAGTGTTTTACAAGTAGGCATGCTAGACAAAATTAAAGGTTTCGAAAAACGACGAACACAGATTTCAAACGTGCGAGAACACATAATCATTTGACTAAAAGTGACTAAAAGCAAATAACTAGGTATATAACCAACCTCTCTGTTTATTCCAATCGGGTTTGCACGGTGAGCAGTCAAATTGGTCTGATGCGCTTTTTGCTGTTGTGCCGCATTCTGCTGCATCTTCTTAGTTTCGAGGAACCTGGTTCCCAAGAGAGCAACGGTCTCCCGATCGTTCTGAAACTTGAGTAATCAGAATGGGTTTGTATTATTGAAAGAAACTTACTTGATCCAGCGAAAAGATATTTAGATCTTGGTACTTTGACATAAGTTCTTCGACACTGAAAAACAAGTTTTTGGAAAAGACTGGCACTGGAAACTTACAATCGCAGAGGCTCGTTCATATTTTTTTGAATTTCTGCTCTTCTCGCATTGCTCTGTTCGAGTCTTGTCTGTAGAATTTTGAAGACCTCATTATTTTGAAGTTGAGTATTCTGAGTATTCTGAGAGAACAATGTACGCAATTGATCGGAATCCGCAGAAATTTTCTTGTCCTCCGCCATTGCCTCTTTGATAAATCTCAATCTCTGAAATAGATTTATAGATATTTCCAACACCGACTTCATCGTTTATTTACCATAACAAGTTGTTCTCTCAAACTTTTCAGCTCTGCTTCCTGTACATTGGGTCTCATCGGTTTGACACTGCTTGTAGTCGAAGCTCTTGGTCTGTGCACAGGTGGGGTGACACTAGAAGATGGTTCAACTGAGGGTGCAAGTGACTGATGGTATGCTATGTTGATTCCGATTGGCATTTGAACACTCGATCGATTCAGATTGAACTGGGCTTGAACTGCTTTCAGTTGCGCTTCACGGTTCTTTTGCAATTGTGCTTGCTTTGCCTTCTCAGCAGCTTGGGCTTGGGCTTGAGCTTGGGCCTGGGCGGCTTGTTGTGCTTGAGCTTGAGCTTGAACCTGGGCCTGAGCGGCTTGTTGAGCTTGAACATGAGCTTGGGTTTGGGCTTGATGAATCTGCTGATAAAGATGCTGCAATAGTTGCTGCTGATGTGCATTCTGTTGTTGTTGCTGGAGTTGTAGTGCTGCCTGCTGATGCGCAAACAATGGATGTTGAGGATTCAAGAAATTCTTGACCATTTCTGAAAAAAAAATAGTTCTATTACTTTGAGAATAGTCTCCTTCTTCTTCTTATTCTTCTTATTTTTTATCCTTTCTTCTTTTTTGAATTACAAGCGGGTCGATCGTTCGAAAAGAACAAACGGATAGGAAAGAAGAAAAAGAAGAAGAAGAGAAAAATCGAAACAGAACGCAGGCATTGTGTGTCCATGTGTTGTAAGAAAAAAATGGCATAAAAATTGTCATGCCATCGGAATGTGAGAAAAGTTTTTTTTTTCTTTAAAGCTGATGGGAATTATTAGGATGATACCTTTCAAAAAGAACGTACCTGGGTTTGCGCCAATCGGTAACTGCGCTTGAGCCGCCAACTTAAGAAGTGCTTCGTTCAGCTCTTTCTGAAACTTTTTTATTCTTAAATGGTTCTAAAACGTGATCTAAACCTGTTGTTGAGCCTGGAACGGTGTACCAGAAGTGATACTTCCTTGTGGTTGAACTTGAGATTGAGCTTGTGCTTGTTGGAACGCGGCTTGAAGTTGCATCTGTTGGATTATTTGAGCCTGTTGAGCTTGTTGGGCTTTTTGGGCTTGTTGGGCTTGTTGGGCCTGTTGCGCCTGTTGAGCCTGTTGCGCTTGCTGGGCTAGTTGCGCTTGTTGGGTCTGTTGTTGCTGTATGATCATGGCCAATAACTGTTGCCCGTTAGGATGCTGATTGAGCATATTCAGCATATTAATATCCAAATTGCTCTGCATGTTCACTTGATTAGATGGAGTTGAGGATGCGGTAGGCCGTAGTGGAGTCGGTGTTAGAATTTGTGGGGTAGTGTTCTCTCTCGGCGGAATGAGAGGAATCGGTTGCGCAATAGGCACAGGTGATGGGACAGCTTGAGATGCAGCTGTGGGCGCTACCATTCCCGAGATGGCAACGGTGGGCGCGTGTTGTGCCACAGGCACGACGAGCGAAGGAACTGATTCTTTCGTTTCTGTCGGTGGTACTAGCTGAGAGGCAACAGAGGGAGAGGGGGACGTGGAGTCGACGTGTCTGTGCGCTGTTGCAGAGGCTGTTGTGACGGTCACTGGGGGCGCGGCACTTTGTGGCTGCTGCTGTTGTTGGATGAAACCACGCCCACCCAGCTCATGTACTCCGTCGCCACCGCCTCCGAGGCTGCTGGAGCCAATGAGATGCGACGAAGAAGAGGTGGGAGTGGGACGTTTTGCTGGAGGCTCGTCGACATCGATTTCCTGGGTATCGTCTCCGTCTTCGTCATCTTCGTCTTCATCTTCTTCCTCCTCCTCTTCATCTTCTTCAGAATCGTCTTTTTGAGAGGACGGCATTGGCTCGACGGGATGAGAAATTGATGGTTTCTGAGAGTAAATTTATGAAAAATGGGTATTAGGATTTAAAAGAAACTAACCTGAATTCGTGGTAATGAAAATTCAGGTTTATGGGATAGAATCTTCGGAGACAGTAATGTTTTGACAGGCGAGTCAATATCTCTTGTCACTTCTTCTTCTTCCTCTTCATCGACTATATCCAGATCGTCTTGTCCTTCTGGTGAGTCAACTTCCATGTTTTCCCCGGGCGAGGCATCTCGCATCTCGCTTGGAGCTTTAGATCCCTTTTCGTTACTACCGTTACTACCCTCTTCATCATCCAACTCAATTTCATCTCCGAGATCTTCCACTAACTTAGGAACAGCCTGAGCTCGTGTGATAGCTCCAGCGGTTCTCCGATTCGTGGAGCGCGGGACACGAGGTTGTCGAGGACTGAAAAATATCTCTCACTGTGTAATAAATTATCGTTTTCTACGATACTAACGCTCTTTTCGCACTCCTTGCTAGACCACTTCGCCGATTGCCCGTCGTAGGAGTTGGTTTGGCAGATGACGAGTCGCCCACTTCATCTGTTATAGGGTCTTCATCATCAAGTTCTTCCAATAATGGTTGTTGCTTCACTCCATTCAACTCATCGTATTGCATTTTGCATTCGTTTGGGCGACGATTCATTCCCAATGAGATAGTATCCCAATCAAGAGTTGCCGATGCATTGATCAGTGTTACCAACTTTGTTTTTTCTTCATCAGTCCATCCAACTTGTCCTTCATAATTCAACAGTTCGTTCATGATATATTCTTCTTTGTTGTTAATCTGAAATTTTTCATGTTTCTTCCCATATTTATGGAGACAAGAACACCCCGTTCCCATCTTTTAAAGCATCATAATCTTCGGTTGGGTCTCATGCGAATATCGATGAGCTTTTTTATCATTGAGAATTCCGTCACAATAGTTCCTCGTTTTCTCAAGAAAATGAATACTTCAAGAGAAACTATATTTTATTTCCCATCTGTCATGTTTCCTTCAAAAGAAGCCGAAGGTGCCATGGCGCTTTAAATGGAAGAAGATGAATAGCAAAAGCCTTCATTTTCTAAACGAACCCTGACGTATGGGAAGCCGAACCCGGAATATAAATGAGCCGAATGCAAATCTCATATATCATTCACCTCTTTTTTTCCAAAAATTATAAATCATGAATACTTGAAAAAAAAATATTTTAATTAATTCGAATTTTTAATTAGCTGGTTAGAATTTACGATTAGCTGATTTTTCAATTTCAATACACTAATGAATAAATAATTATAAACTTAACATTTTATTTCGCAACGAAGAAAGATAAACGTTTCTTTTTATTTACTAGGTCACACTATAAAAGTTACTGTAGTTTTATGACCGCTCCTCGTTCCCAGCGAATAGGAACAAAAGCGAGTGAGAGGCGGTGGTTTTTTTCGTATCAAAAAGGCCACAGCACCCTCTCAAAATAATTGCGTTGTGCTACGTACGCGTCCGATTATGAGCTCGCTTTACGACCTACTTGGCCTTTTTCTACATGATTTCTAATCGGGAAAGGGGGATATATAAAAATGAGCACCACCAAAACGGCTGCTCCATCTCACTCACATCAGCAATCCAGCGAGTGAGCGCGTTTTTGCAGGGGGTACAGAATTTGACAGCGACTCGAATCGATCCGAGTTTGTCCATTAGAAAGGCTCGTGTCCGTACTGGAAAATCAGCAAGGTCGAGAGGAATGTTGCGATTGACACGATTCGCTCGCTTCTTTTGGTTCGAACATCGGTTACCAAAGCAACGGCTGAAATGGTTTTGGGTATATAGGGGTTATGGATTTTCGATAACATACTTATCCTTGTAAAGTTTAGCAGCTTCTTCTCGACAACGGGTACACACGATACGTTCTTCTTCAGGAGAGATTGCTGAAACAGAAAAGTAATTTGAACTTTCTATCTGATCCCTATTCATCATATTTTATTGCTTTAGATTTTGATATAATACTTTCGTTCATATTAGTGTAAATACACTATTTTGTCCACTGTCACTCAAGACTTGAGCTTCAAGTACAAGCGAGGCACGGCACGTTCTTAAACTATAATTTTCCATGTCCGGAGAGAGTGATCGAATCCTAAATTATATGTTTTGAAAATACACGGAACTCGTCAGTAACAAATCTACTATTTGTAGAGAGTAGTGATAAAATGGGAGGGGGGGGGGTTCAAATTCAAAAGGATCAAATACGGGGAAACCTGTAATAGAAGAACCCCTTAACGTCTGAATTCGAGTCAACTTTTCTCGGATTCTATCAGAGATATAAAAAAATATGGCAACTGATCAATTGTTTATCATAATATTAGAGGTGTTTTGTCAGTTTGCATGTTTTTGATCTTGCATAGGAGTTGAGATAATTGAGCTTAAAATGGACAGTGCGGGTGCCCTTTTATTACAGGTTTTACGGTAAAGTAGACTCAACATACCGAATATTTCATACGCTTCCTTTGGCATAAGCGTCCCATCCAGATCTTTACCATTGACTGTCTGACAACAGAAGTAGCACATTAAAGAGTTTTTTGGATACGCTCTATAATTCAATGGAGGCATCATTCGACAGTAGGCTAGTTCTTCAGCAGATGGAAACGGTGCCACTTTGTACCTTGTAGGTCGTTTCTTTACTTTGAAATCCTTCTTGAAATTCTCTGTCTTTTTATTCATATAGTAGTATGTCACAAGATCTGAGGCGGTTTTGTCGACGAAAAACTCCTGGAGACCATGAAAGATTTTCACATGCTCTGATTGCCTCCCCTTGAACAGTGCTCGTTCTTCTGGAGTCCACTCATGAAGGCGTCTTGTAATCGAATCCCGATGAACCTCCTTCATATTTGTTATGATAGAACCGGGCCGTTCAACAAACACATCTAATTTTCGTTCTTGCTCAGTTAAAAGACGAGGTAATGTAGCCACACCCAGTCGTATTTTCTCATCTGCATGATGTTTGATTCTCATGTGTTTCTCGTCGTCTCCACGTATCCGCTCCGCACGATCCCATCTTTCTCGATCCTCTCTTTCTTTTTTGAGTTCCGGAAATTCTTGTTCAGCCTGAACTCTGTGGAATTCGACATATTCCCTGTAATGGATTAGGTTGGAATACTGTAATCATGAATGTTCACTTACATTCGCTCTGGTGTTTCTTCCCATTCCTTGATCTCATTTTGAAATGTTGCGAAGTTTTCATCATATTCTCGAGCAAGTTGTTTGAAGCTGAAAGAAAAATAAATCATTCATTAATCTTTCTTCTGAATATGACTAATCCCCCATAGTCTTAAAAACCATTTAAAATCACTAAACCCACCTTTCCATGCTTTTTGGTGTCGTCACTTTTCCTTGCCAAAAAAAAGAGCCTCCGGACTAATTCCAGGCGAATGCCCTTCTCGCTATCGTTCTTATTTCCTCGAGACTCGTTTCAGGCAAGTCAGCGGGGCCTGAAAGTGGAGAGTGAAAATAGCTGGAAGAAATAATCTAGAAGAGGGAAGATTAACTAGAAAAATAAAACATAACAAATATTTTAAAAAACAACTAGAAGATCAGAAACTCGGAAGTTGAGTGGAGTGGTGCATAAACTGCAGAGATGGGCGGAATGGAACAATTGAAAATCTGAAAAACCTATTGAAGTCTGAAATAAGGAAAAGGAAAGGAACAAAATTTGAAAAAAAACCCATGTTGGGAAAATGTTGAGAATCCAATCAAAGATGAATTTAGGCTCCATTAAACGACATTTGGAGTGGTAACTTATGTTTATAAATATTTTTGATATTTCTTCAAAAAAAGTTCATATAGAAATTGTTTTATCCGGAAGAATGGCGAAATTCAGGTAGAAGAAATGAGAAATAAGAAATGAAAGAAAACTTGGAAGAAGGAAGAAGGGATTAGGAACTATGCTCATTTCTGGTTACACATAGGAACCAACTCAATGACCAATATGTTTCCCAGAAAAATAATTACTCCCCCAGATTCGTCATTATCATTTACATTAAGTAGCAAGAAGGAAAATCAAATATTATGGAAAAAAAAACAAAAGTTCAGAAAGACTTAATTAGGAGATGGGAGAAAGAAAGTTTTGCACACTTTCATCGTTGGAAATCAGAAGGAAATAATCATATTCAAGTCAAATCACATTTTCAGAAGCGAAATGAGAAAAACATGATATTTCGTAGAATGTCAGTGTCCGTTCTTGATAAAAACAAGCCTGATTCGGTATAATACTTGAGCAAGATGAAGTGACGGCGAGAAAACGTTGGATAATCAATTTTCTTGACGAACAGAGAATACATGAAATGTTATTATATCTTTTAAAACTTCTTATCATGAATTTCCTAGTAGGCAACTTAAATAAATTTAAAATCATGTTACTTCTGCCTCCAAAATTTGTTATATATTCATTCTCAGTAACAGCTATGTTATGTTTTAGTACCTAATATATCGCTGAAAAACACCTGACAATTCGAAAATAGAAAATGGAAACACATATAAAATAAAAAGCAAACTCTAAAAACTATGAAGATGAGAGAAGAAGAAGATGATCGGATGTCGCACCCATTTTTTGCAAGGAGGCTCATGAAAGTGCCGAAATAGGCGAGATAGATGGGGAGAAGAAAAAGGAAAAACCGAAATATGTGAGAAATTAGAAAATATTCCCAAGCAGTATTTCTAGAATATTTCGATAATTGGTTTCCTAATTCTAAAAAAAATGTTCTGCTCGATAGGAATGACACTAAGAAATGAGAAAAGATTCAACAATGCAGAATTAAAATTAAGGATGAGAGGAATGAAAACTTTGAAAATTCGGAATAAGAAAGAACGGAAAAAATCCAATCACATAAAAGAGGAATTTAGGCTCTATTAAACAACATTTTCAGAGGTAGCTTTTTGTTAGGTATAGAAAATATGTAAAAATCCTAAATAAAGAAAGAAGAAATTGTTCGTATGATCCGGAAGAATGAGAAAAAAAATCAGGAAGGCCGAGGAAGGATTAAGGAATTCCGCTCATCTCTGTTGGAGATAAAGGGAAGAATCATGCAGTCATACAGATACAAAAGGGTTCAGTCTTCTATATTTTTGTATTTTTCTGAATATCGAAATCAAAGATCAAGAAGAAAGAAAACTTGTGAGCGTAGGTTTCTGAATATGTACTGAACCACAATATGATGTGGTGCGTGGTGATAAAACATTTGTGGTAAACTGAGAAACAGAACTACGAGGCTTGTTAAAAAAGTTCTTGAAATATAGAAGGAAGAAGAATCAGCAAAAATCCACTTCAATTCATGACTAGAATACGTTCCAAATAATCGCTGAATGCGTCGGAAGACTTGACACTGAGATCCTGAATTTTTTAAAGAACATTCATCGAGAATCAACCTGAACTACAGCGCGAAGAATAGATAAGAGCAGTGTAACAAACACATTAAATGCGACAGGAATCGAATCATGAGTAGTCGACCTATCAAAATGGAGTGATGGCTTTGTGGGATGAATGAAATGAACACTAAAAGCATGTACAGTGAACTAAAATTTCAGAAATCAGGTTTCGAAACGGATTTTCCATGAATGTCTACGAAGAGTACAGTGGAAGCTTGCTCGGAACGTTGAATTCGTTCAAAGTTTTTGATAATGAGAGAACTTGATAATGGATTTGTTTCTGGCTCCATCTAAATTTCAAGCTTATATTTATTCTACAACGGTGTTTGAGGACCAAGGCCGAGATACAATTTTTTCTGTTTACTCATGTAGATGTTAATGTAAGCTGGGGAATTGAACGGATTCAAAGTGCACGCCGTTTTAATAGTTATCAATTCTCCCTATTAGAAAATTTCTCTCTCTCTCTCTCTCTCTCTCTCTCTCTCTCTCTCTTCTTTTCAGAAGACGTCGCATTGTTCACGCGTTCATCGTCGTCTTCTTCCTTCTCATTCTCTCACCCTCTTTTTCATTTCCAACAGGACAAAAACACAGAAAAAGGCAGGAAAAAAAGAGTACTACAAAGGGAGAGAATAAGTGAGAGACAGCGAGAGAAATGAGAGAACACTCCTCGTTTACGTGTGAGTATGTTTTGGAGGAGGAGAAGAAGAGGGCCATAAAACACGGAAGAAGGCGATTCAACGGGTTCGAACATTAAATGTTATTAAACAGAAGGAAGTGAGCAAGAGGAGCGTTTCATGCTAAATTGGAAAACTTAGTAGGAGGGAAAAAAGAAGAAGGATAAAGAATCTTGAACTTAAGATTTTTATGATAATAAAAGAGAATGCAAGGCTAACAGATAATCGTCGAGTATGGTGAAGCTACTGCATACAATCATATTTTCATCAAGTTTAACTGTAAAAAGCCGTTCGAGAAAATAAAGTGTTTCGAAACTTATCGAATCCGCCAACATGACTAACGTCATGATCAAAGAAGCAAATTAATGTTGAGATACTTTGATCAGCAGGAAATTCTATCGGGAAGAGGATTTTTGAGTAGTATTACTGCTGAAATTCAAACTCTGAAAAGTTCGAATTATTCAGAAAGATTCTAGAAATGTTTCTTTGATACCTTCTATAGGAGCTTTTCGCTAGAACAAAATATTTCAAGAAAGATACTAATGAGATCATCTACGAAAACAAAAGGACATACTTGAAAACCGGTTGGTCTAACAGAAAAACTACGATTATGTAACCCAAAAATGGATGATAACGATTTCAATCAAGCTCACAGGTCCCTAAGTAAAAGCGTCACTCTTCCACCCTTTTTTTCAGAATTAGAAAAAATAACAAATTCATTTCTTTTCAGTCATCTTGGAAACGCAGACAAAAAGTAGCAGTTTTTTCTCTAAAGAAACTTAGAGAACGATGGTGTGAAGGAACAACATGAGAGACAGAGATGCAAGACAGAGATGGTATCTGCGTCTCCATACTCCCTCCGGAATAGCATATCATTGGGAAAGAAAGGTTAATGAGAATGAAGAAAGTTTGTCATTGTCACAATTAACGAGAAAATAACAAATCGAGTTCAGTAACAATTTCAGAAGTGCAACTCTTTTTCTGAATATTTGAAAAGGGCAGAATCTATAACTCGATTTGGTCATTATTTTTAATTTTTTTTATTTTTATTACTGGTCATTATTTTTAAGTCTTACAAGAGGTACCAAATTGTTGTTACAAAGATAATTATCAAAGTTCAAGTACTTTTAACTAATCATCACTTGTCTATCCCCTAATCTGCTTCTTCCTTTCATAATTTTTGTGCTTCTCCTTTCTATTTGACATCATCAAATATTTCAGACTGTTATTTTCCCAGCTTCAACCAGTAATTTAGAAATGGAATGACATATCGTAAAGCGTCTCCTAGAGAATAGGCAAACCGGGGGAAGATGTCAACCAGACAGTGGTAGACGAAGGACGCACTGAGAAAACATTGTTCAAACTGGAGAGGCACAGAAGGAGACCGATTGAATAGGGCGCAGAGAAAATCTGAGGCGATGAGACATTTCTATCGGATATGTACCTGTTTTGGTATGCTATAATTAAAATTGCAAAGAAAAAATGAAGTGGAAATCAGCACAATAAACATGGTTGATAAGCAAATACCGAAAATGGTTAATGGTATTTAAACTATATTTCCTATAAATAAAAAGGCCGAACGGCTCATAACGAAGACGGCGAGTGGATCGAAATGAGAGCCGATTATCGCCAAGAGCAGACAAAAACGGGAAAAACACGAGGTCAAGCTCCAGAGACGTTCTTCGTTCTCCACAGAAAGCACAATTTTGCATGTGGCTAGACAATGGAATTGCAAAAGGTTCTTGTATTGAACAATGTGGTTCCACTATTTAATTTGGTAAACAGTTCTGAGTAAAGAAGATACCGCTCTTTTTGCATTCAACGAAGTATTCAAAACTTGAAAAAAATGATTTGCCAAGTAAACAAAACTGATTGCAAGAGGTACCTTGACAAAAATGATCAAATAGTACTCAAAATACAAATGGAATCACTTCGTTGAACCCGAATGTAAAATTTGAATCACATGAGGTGGCAACTAGATATCTACCCTATCATCTTGTTTGTTCAATCTCAGAAGTAGAAGATCAAGGTGGGCGGAGAAAACATTCACTACAAATGATTTTTTAAAAGTTGTTCGAACAATGATGGTCCCTTTCAAAATTATAGTAAATGAACTTGGAAAAGTTCACAGCGAACAGGGAGTCCTTAGTCGGAAGACGACAGCCGCCGCAGCTGCTGCGGGGCGAAGAGGACGAGAAGAAAAATAGAGTACGTGTTTTGCGGAGAGACAAACCAAGGGTCTGCTGGTGCAATGGAACTGCGAGTGAGCGCGCGCAGAGTGAGGTCTGCTGTTGTCGGGCATACACCGGGCACGGAAATAAGAGAGGAGATGCCTACATTGAAAAAAAAGAAGGGTCATCTTCGGTACATTAAAAGCGATTGTTATTAATTACAAGTAAATATGATGGTGAATCTTTGTGAGGCCCAACTGAGCAGTATGTATAAATGCTAGCATCAGGAAAGAAGGCATTCAGAAACTAAAAGTCTGATGCTAAAGTTCTGAGTTAATCTGAACTCTTGAGATAATTCAGACTCTGTGAAAAAATGCTGCTCCTACAGTATCTGAAGTATTTAAGAATAAATTTGCGGCGTCAATTCTTAGTATTAAAACATTTCAGTCGTCTTCAATGAGCCTAATCGTAAAATTCCCTAAGGGCGCAAAAATGGAACTGCGACCCCGTTACAGCACCAGCATAAATTGTGACCGAGAATAATCCACGAATTTTGATATTGTTGGACTCGTACGAATTGCGCCTCGCGTTTGCAGAATCAATAAAAAATCAAGGTCTTGCACCCAATCCAGGTTATTTTCTGTCGGACAAAAATGCTACAATACTCTATTCGTGAAAATGTTTTCCGACTACTCTCGAAGAATTTTGGAACTATGCCAAACAACTTGTTCGGAAAACAAATACCAGCTCCTTCTCGGGTAAAGGGTTCGAAAATAGCTCTCAAAGGACGTTCAGCAGAAATATTAACGATGGGCTGGGAACTCCATAATAGTCATAATCGACCGATTCTTTTTTAGCGATGTGCACCTATTTTTCTTCTGCATGTAGACGAATCAAGTAACAATTTTATAACAAGATGTTTATAAACAAGAAAATCACGCAACAATCTCGAAGCGGAGTGGGGCGAGAAGTTCTGGCTCATTATCCTTGGTGGTGACGGTGTGAGCGGCTCTTGGGGCAACTGGAAGTCTCTTCAAAGCTGGGACTGGTTGACCGGCAGACTTAGCAGCCTTTCTCTTCTCGTCGTTGGACTTGACACGGTTCAAGAAGTCGGTTCTGCACTTGGATGGCTTGATGTGCTCGATGCGGATGTTGATTCTCTTTGGAAGAATGTTTCCGCTGAAAAATATAATTGTTTTTCATGTCACAAACAACATCGACGCAAAATTTTTAGTTTTGAGGATTTTTTTAAAAAAATGGTTTCAAGAATTCTTGAAAATATTTTTCATTTTAAATAATGAATAAATATACAGATTGTATTTTTCTATTGATTAATGACTTACCGGACTCTCTTGTTAACGATGATTCCGACAGCTCCCTTAGTGACGTTGAAGATTCTTCCGGTTCTTCCGTGGTAAGCCTTGAATGGCATACCCTTTTGGAAAGCTCCGTTGGTCTTGATGTCGACGAGATCTCCGCGCTTGTACTGGGTGTAGTAGGTGGAGAGGTGCTCAACTCCGTGCTTGCGGAAGTCGCGAGCAAACATGTAACGCGTTCCGCGTCTGAGACCCTTGGAGTTAGTCATATTTAACCCTGAAAATAATTTTTGAAAAAAGTTCATGAGTTTTGAAATACCGGGAAAAGTATTGAGGAAAAAAAAGAGATTTGAGAAACATAATTTCAAAAAATCGAAAATTCAGTGCAATTCAGGGACAATTATGACGAAATGCAGCATTTTCAGGTAGAATATCATGTTTTCTGACTATTTTTGAATTATCAATCCTTGAAAGACACCGAAAAAAGCGATTTTTCAGAAAAAAAGACGAAAAAATCTTTAGGCCAGTCAAACATAACTTCTCTTTAAAGGCGCAGAGTACGGTGTCACTCGTTGTCACTGTGTTGTGCTTCCCATCGATCGCGTCGAGACCCGCCTCTGCGTCTCTGCGCTTTAACAACGTTTTACCTTATCCCTCACTCGAATTTTATCTAACTAAAGACAATTTGCTGAAATTATTTCCAGAAAGCTCGAGCGAGCAACAAAACATATACTCTGAAAACTTACCGGTTATCATTTGTTATCTGCTAATCTATTTCATGAATAAATTTATTTACAATTTTTTCTTATCACAACAGTTGAAAATAAATTTTCAGAATGTCGCTTGGTACCGTCGTCTACAACACCGTCTCTCGCCGTTTTTCCACCATCCTCTTGGCTTCTGCCTTCGGAGCGTACGCTTTCAATTATACCTTAGATGGACTCACCAACTTCTATTGGGACACTGTAAGATTTTATTTTGAAATTTTTTAATCTAAAAAAAAATGTACTGACATGTCAAAAAAAATCTAATTGTGTGTCAAATATTCAAAGCGTTCCAGTCATCTAGGCATCCAAAGTTGCCGAATTTAAAAATACTTTGCGAAATCATCAGCTTTTTTGTCACGAAAATGGCCTTTGTTAAAAACTAAAAACTACGGCAACATAATTAGATTTTAATTAAGATGCTTAAAAATTAGGCTGGCTCAAACGGTTAATTTTCGATAATTCTGCTTGCCGTTCGGGTTTCCTATTTAATAGCAAGTACGTGAACCAAGGGCATAAAATTCTACCTTGAAATGTTGTAGTTTCCAAAATCTTTAGGTCGCAAGTTAAGAGATAGCTTCATCAGTAACAATCTAATGTATGAAACTAAGCATCCCAACATCAAAATAAACCCAAGCTTGTCTTTGATTGGTGAAGTTTTCTAGTATTTTTTTCGAATAGAAGGAATTATGGTAAACCTCATTCAAAAAATCAAACCAAAGAACTTTCTAAAGATAGATTTTCCCCAATTAGAATTAATATTTTTGTAGTTATAACGGCTTTGAAAATACTTCTGAATCGAAAGAAACATTTGTTATCTTCAAATCGAATTCTCAAATACAAAGTCAACTAGAAATTTTCACCATAAATGAAAAATCAGGGCCTAGGTTTTCTACATTTGGAAAAAATGCTGACGTTCAAAAGTTGTTTTGAATAGTCTCCATCAATGGTAATCTGTTTTCGGCGAGCTTATTAATCAAAAAAATTGATTAGGTTATTTTTATTGACCCTAAAAATGTTTTGAAAAGACGGAAAACAAATCCTTAAAGGTGGGGGACAGGAGATTTTTCGTAGTTTTTTTGTAGCTAGAGTATGCATTCTACCGTCACGGTGTATAACGCTTAATGTCACTCTGCGTACAGCTGTCGTCCTCGCCTTTATGTATGCAATCGGGCGTGCGCCTTCTCTTTGCCCGCGTGACTCAGTCGGTAGCGGCGCCGCACCCTCAATCATCGCCCCCACAAGTTCAACTCCTCGAGGGGCATCTTTGAACGGAATTTCGAGAACATTATTTTTTTCATGTCCCCCCACCTTTAAAAAACCAGTGCCAGACCTTGGATATTCTGAAAAAAAAACCTGTGAGAATTTTTTCTGACTAAAAAGTTATTCAAATAAACCAGTCGGTTTGGTGCGCCTCTGGCGATTCAAACATCTGACTGGTGCGCATGCGACGCAATTTTTCATATTTTCAATAGTTTGCCGCTCTTTACTCTGAAACATTGCCACCTTTTCGAATTCGAAGATTGCTCAACAATCCTAGGATTTTGCTGAAAAACTTCTAAACCGTAAAACTAACAATGTTTTTCAATTCATCAAGTTTCGGGAAAAAAAACTAATTGGAGATGAAAGGTAGTATATGTTAATTTCAAATTTACTCAACAGGTGTTAAATGTTTATTTCATATCATTCGATTTCAAATTCAAACATTTCAATTGTACAGTTAGGTCTTCCCTCCTCCCCTCAAAAATGGTCCCGTTCGTTGTCGGCTCGCCTTTTGTTTAACTTTAGGGATAGATTTCAGCATGAATCTATTAATTAATCTCTTTCAATTTTTTACTTTCAGAAGAATGCTAACAAGCAATGGAAAGACATCAAGCAACAATTGGCCCAAGAATAGATTCCAGCGGACGAATATGGAAACTTCTACGATGTGGCGTTTCTAGAATTTTTGTAGTATCCTAAATTTTCTTGTCGAGATAAACATTTTGATTTATTCTTTCAATTGTAACTGCGGTTTTCCGATGTACTAAATTTTGTGAATACATGAAATTTCGAACTAAACTCCGTTGCCTTGGAAATCTGTGAGCGTTCCGCGTCGAGAGAGGAAGATGGCGATGCCGCGAAGAAGTGATTCTGAATGCAAATATTTACCACCGGATAAAGCGGTACTTTATAGAAAAACGAGTGACTCTGCAGTAAGAGAGCAATTAGAGTCGAACAAAAAGGAGCTGGGCAGGGCAGGTCAACTGTGGGCAAAGGGCACACAAACAGACAAAATAGTGTCGGCGTCGTAGAGGTGAAGAGACATCGGCTCTCATTCTATCGTGGATCGCGTCGGTCGGTATGACAGTATAATATTTGACGAGTGTCGGACCGTACCTTGGTACTGCCTAGACCAAATAGAGTCGGAGAAAGATGGGCAGTTACTCGTAGAGGTCACCTCTCATTCGCATTTTGTAAGGTTTCCTTATCGATTCGGAGCGTTTTTATACATTCTACTTCCTATACTTATTACTATACATCTTTTTTGTCACATTTATCAAGTTTCGAAAGATATTCAAGATTCTTAAAAATCTCAAATCTCTTCGAAAATTTTCTGAAACATTTCGTTCTCTCAATCTCTCGTTTTAACAAAAAAATCTCATGAAAATCGAATACAGTATTTTCTCGTCTCTCTCTATTCTTACAAAGCGATCGAGCAAAACATATCGGTTTTTTAGTACATAACCAGGCATCCATTCTGCGTCTCTATTTGTTACACGTGTATCAACCGTCATTATCGTCCTTCTCACACTCCCAACTGGACGACAACACAGTTTATTTGACATACTTTCCGTCCATTTTTTCTAACCAGTATTATTTAGTTTTCGTGTTCATCAATACTTCTTTTCAGGATTCTTCCAAAATGCTTTTCGACCGGCGCATTTTTGCTCTGGTCGTCGTGGTCTGCCTTTCGGCGATCCATGCAGAAGAGACGGATGAGGAGTTGAATTATGAGATGGATGAAGGAGTCGTTGTGCTTACAGACAAGAACTTTGATGCTTTCTTGAAAAAGAACCCAAGCACTTTGGTCAAATTTTATGCTCCATGGTAATGCCAGCTTCGAAATTTCAACCGAAAAAATTATTAATTCAGGTGTGGTCATTGCAAACATTTGGCACCGGAATACGAGAAAGCCACATCGAGGGTTTCGATCCCTCTTGCGAAAGTTGATGCTACTGTTGAGACGGAGCTTGGAAAGAGATTCGAAATTCAAGGTTATCCAACTCTTAAATTCTGGAAGGACGGAAAAGGACCAACCGATTACGATGGAGGAAGAGATGAGGCAGGAATCGTTGAATGGGTTGAATCGAGAGTTGATCCAAATTACAAGCCACCACCAGAGGAGGTTGTCACATTGACAACTGAAAACTTTGATGACTTCATCTCAAACAACGAATTGGTTCTTGTTGAGTTCTACGCTCCATGGTGTGGACATTGCAAGAAATTGGCTCCAGAATATGAGAAGGCCGCCCAGAAGCTGAAGGCTCAAGGATCTAAAGTCAGACTTGGAAAGGTTGATGCGACTATTGAAAAGGATTTGGGAACCAAGTACGGTGTAAGCGGATATCCAACAATGAAGGTTATCAGAAATGGAAGAAGATTCGATTATAATGGTCCTCGTGAAGCTGCTGGAATCGTCAAGTATATGACTGAGCAATCAAAACCAGCTGCTACTAAACTCGCTAAACTGAAAGACATTGAGCGTTTCATGAGCAAAGATGACGTCACCATCATCGGATTCTTTGCCACCGAAGATTCATCCGCCTTTGAAGCGTTCTCTGATTCCGCTGAAATGCTTCGTGAAGAGTTTAAGACAATGGGACATACATCAGATCCAGCTGCTTTCAAGAAATGGGATGCCAAGCCAAACGATATTATCATCTTCTACCCATCCCTTTTCCACAGCAAATTCGAGCCAAAGAGCAGAACCTACAATAAGGCATCTGCTACTTCTGAGGATCTATTGGCATTCTTCCGTGAGCACTCAGCACCACTTGTTGGAAAGATGACCAAGAAAAATGCTGCTACAAGATACACAAAGAAGCCATTGGTTGTGGTTTACTACAATGCTGATTTCTCGGTTCAATACAGAGAAGGAAGTGAATACTGGAGACAGAAAGTTCTGAACATTGCTCAGAAGTACCAGAAGGATAAGTACAGATTCGCAGTGGCCGATGAGGAAGAGTTTACCACTGAGCTCTCCGAACTTGGACTTGGAGATTCTGGACTCGAGCACAACGTTGTTGTCTTTGGTTATGATGGAAAGAAGTACCCAATGAATCCAGATGATTTCGATGGAGAGCTTGACGAAAATCTCGAGGCATTCATGAAACAAATCAGCAGTGGAAAGGCAAAGGCTCATGTCAAGAGTGCTCCAGCTCCAAAAGACGATAAGGGACCAGTGAAGACAGTGGTTGGATCAAACTTTGATAAGATTGTCAACGATGAATCGAAGGATGTGCTCATCGAGTTCTATGCTCCATGGTGTGGTCACTGCAAGAGCTTTGAGCCAAAGTACAAGGAACTTGCTCAGGCATTGAAAAAGTCCCAACCAAATGTGGTCCTAGCTAAAATGGATGCCACTATCAACGATGCACCAAGTCAATTTGCTGTTGAAGGATTCCCAACCATCTACTTCGCTCCATCTGGAAAGAAGGTAACAAAAGATACAATTTATTTGAATTTTTGAAAATTTTAATTTTTAAGACTGAACCAATCAAGTACTCTGGAAATCGCGATCTTGAAGACCTCAAGAAGTTCATGACGAAGCATGGAGTGAAATCATTCCAGAAGAAGGATGAGCTGTAAACGGTCGATGAGTTATCAATGATAACCAATACCAAAACGAATTCTGTGATAATTTATATTTATTTATTTCCTTCTTTTGTTAATTAAGTATTTTCAATCTTCCTCCAACTTCCTTCTTATTTTTGTCACCTCCCTTTTTCTCCTTCCTTCCCCAATTATTCATCTTTCTCTCATTTTTGGTTACGTGTATTACATTGAATTTTGTATGTGATGAGACATGAACTGTTTTAGTAGTTATGAAAAAAAAGAAAACCTATTCACGAAGATGAATAAACAGACTGATCGCTGAGCTCCCCGAGAACTTTTCGAGAAGTTTCTGAGAAGCCACTTAACAGAGGAATCGGGGTAGAGGGAGGAAGAAAAGAGACAAAACTTTTGTTTGTGTTTATTTGAACTGTTGAAAGTGCTCAACGGGGGTGAAAACGACGAAAGAGGAAAGCTTAGAAGCGTCACAGTTTGTGGTTGTGGATATGATAATCAGCAGAATCAAAAAATTACAAAAAAACTTGTAATAGAAGGGCCCCCACCCTATAAAGTTTGAGCTCAATTATCTCAATTGTTATGTAAGATATAAAAAATGTGTCAATTGACAAAACACTTCTGATATTATGATAAACAATTTATCAGTTGACAACTTTTTTGGTTCTTTAGCAGGAACTGAGAAAAATTGGATCAAAGTTGGTGGGAGGGGGGGGGGGCTTCTATTACAGGTTTTACGGTATATTATTCTGGTACAAATTTGGAGCTGTGGAAGAGTAAAGCTTGTGGGCGTGGCCACTGTAACCTGAAATCTTAGGCTCTTTTTCTCTTGATAACTGTTGCTTTTCGACAATTTTAGTGTTGAAAACCTCCAAACAAGTCGGAAAATAAAATGTTTTCTACATATCAAAAGTTGCCGGAAAACGGACGAAAAAAATATTTTTAGGTTCCGGTAGCTATTGTTATGAGAGCTCCATGTTTTATACCAACATAATAGAAGAACGACCATAAAGATATTTTGGTTCCCGGCTCTCAGATTTCATCCGAATACATTACAACGTGTTTAGAGGATCATAAAGCATTAGGAATCATCTATTGTGCATTGATTAATGATGCTTAGGCTAGATAGCCTCTGGAATAATCTTATGCATTTCAATCGAACACAAACAAATGTATACTTTGAACCTCAATTAGAATTTCGATCTATTACCGTAAAGCCTGTCATAGATGGCCACCCATACTCTCAAGTTTAGGCTCTTTAATGCGAGTTTCTAAAAGAGATATCAAAAAAAGTGTCAACTGATAAAATGTTTGTGATATTATGATAAACAATTTATCAGTTGACTACGTTTTTCATATCTTTGACGGAGACCGAGATAAATTGATTAAGTTAGCAAAGATTAAAGTTAGAATTGATGCCCAATAATGAAAACTTTCGAATGTTGGTGATTAGTTTTCATATTTGGCAAAGTTTCTAGAAGATTCCAAAAATTATAGTTTTTCTTTGTCATGATTGTTCTGCTTGATTTTCCAACAAATCTGTAAGAATCCAGTTGAACTATGAGTTCTCCAACAGATGTCCTAGTTGAACCATACATGTGACTAAAAATCTCATATCCCTTCACCATTGTAAAGTTTACAAAACTTTTCTCCTCTTCAGGGCATTCTTTGTATGTGTCTCTGTGTTGCTCTCAGCTCCCCGCATACTGTCAATATACACAATCATAGTTTCTTCTTCTCTTTCTTCCCATATCCTCTCCATATCCCTTCGAATTTTCCGATCTCCTGAGCTTTTTCTTTTCCTCCCGTACCACACGCCCACTTTCATACAGTCCATCCGAGTTTCTTTCATTTAACGCAAATCCTCCTCCTCCTGCTCTTCTAGGCTCCTAGAGCCCGCATCTCTAAAGAGCCAGAGCTGCGAGTTTTATGATTGTGCATTGTGATGCTCCGCCCGGGGGAGAGAGTGCAACCTGCGCATATGTTTTCTCTTTGACATTACATTTCCTTCCGATTCACATTCTATACTTTCGATTCGAATTTATATCTAAATTCACACTTCGAATTCGTTTCTCTTTCACTCATTTTCTTCATTCAGAATGTCCGCTATCGAAGTCACCGCTGACGCCGCCTCCACCTGGGACTGGCCACTCCAGCACAACGACGGAGTTGTCAAGGTAATTGGAATTATACTTTTTTAGAGTATACACCTATTTTCAGGTCCACAACACTAAGGAAAAGTTCGAAGTTGGACTCGATGTCCAATTCTTCACCCCAAAAGAAATTGAGGTCAAGGTTTCCGGACAAGAGCTTCTCATCCATTGCCGTCACGAGGTTAGTTAACATTTTGTTTAATCTTACTTTTTTGCAAATACAAATTTTTGCTTTTAAGCCTTTTCTATCCATTTCGGCTATTCAGGCTCTGTAGTCCACAATCACATTTTCTTCATTCCAGACCCGCAGCGACAACCACGGAACTGTTGCCCGCGAAATCAACCGTGCCTACAAACTTCCAGATGACGTCGATGTCTCCACCGTCAAGTCTCACCTCGCCACCCGTGGAGTTCTCACCATCACCGCCGCCAAGAAGGCCTAAGCCTACTGCCAAAACAGTAAACAAAACTTTTTTATCGAATTTCTCTTCACTTACTTTTTTTAAAAGAATGTCTTTTCATTATTTTTTACTTATCAAATGTGTTTTAAGAACTTCTTGAAATAAAATGATTCAAAAAATGTACAGAAAGTGGGGATTCGTTCTGTGCCAAAAATCTTCATTCCAGACCAGAATATGGACTAGAGGAAGGGATTCCATGCAATGATATCACTCGAATCTCTCACACAGGTAGACGGGGACTGCCGAAAAACGGGGATCGAGGTAGACGGGGACTGCCGAAAAACGGGGATCGCGCTGCCGACGGTCCGTCTGCGACGATGTACGAAGACTCACCGTCTAAAATGATAGAGCTTTCTTGACAGTTCATCAATAAACAGCTTTTGAACCAGATATTTATTATTCTACTAATAGTTTCTGTGGACTACCTTTCGGTAAAATACGTTGAATATTGTAATAGAACCCTGTTGATAAATGCGTTATATCTCTCACAGAAATCAAGATAATTCAGAACAAGGTTTAAAGTTACAGGGATCTTCTATTACAGGTTTTAAGGTACATGCTTCCCGGTGGATTGCAAAAAACTTAAGTTTTTTCAAGCAATCAGATATACCAAATTTTCTTATTAGCAAAAAAATGTTGAATTTCGTATTTTTGCTATATATATATATATATGTAATAGTACCTTTTTTTCAAAAATTTTTTATAAAAATTGCAAAATCGAAAAAAAGTTCTTGGTTTTTTACAAATCCCAAAGAAAATACTGGACAATTCTTTTGAGAAAAAGGATGTCATACATTTATGTATCCATATATAATTAAGTGTCCGAAAACACTAATTAGTATACAAAAGTAGGGAGAAAATGGATGAAATAACTGGTTTTAGGGGGTGAAAGTGGGCACAAAATGGACAGAAATTAGGAGTATATAAAAGGAAAATCTGTGGATAATTAGTCGAAAAATTATATATTATATACTCTGTTTGAATTGCAGCTCGATGGATCACAAGTTGAAGGTTTTTTTTTTTTTAAATTTCAAAAATTAAAAATGTTTTCTGAAACTTTTTCAATCATTCAAAGATGAAAATGCAATTTTCAGGAAAAAAAAAAACAACTAAAAATTCAAAAAAAAAAATTATTCTCAAATTTTTTTTCCACAAAACTTCAATTTCCAGATCAAAGCTTATCGATTTATAGCCTACTCAGCAATTTCGTTCAGTTTTGTGGCCACTTTATCGGTGAGATTTGATTTTATTAAAACAATTTTTCGAAAAATTCAAAATTCAAATTTTTAGATATGCCTGTCACTTCCAATGATATATTCCTATATCAATAGTATGAGATCAGCGATTCAAGGAGAAATTGATTACTGTAGGGTGAGTTGTGCTTTTTTGGGAAAATCGCAACATTTTAGGAAATAATAATTTTCAAAAAATTGTTTTTTTATATTTTTCGAAATTCCATAGCTTTTGAATTTAAAGTCGGAGAACATAAAACTTCCGAGAAATATTTTTGAATTTTTGAAAAAAATTTCAGATAACTTTTTTATTTGAAATGTTTCTTTTTTGAGAACTATGATAAAGAAATTTTCATTTTTATTAAAGTTTCAAAAATAGAATTTCGGTATATTTAATTTTCAAAAGTTTTCAGTCAAAAAATTTCAGATTTCTCTTTTGAAAACTGGAAAAATTGGCTGAAATTTCAAGCAAATATATTTTCAGAAATATGAAAACTTTTCAAAAATAATTGTTTTCGAATTTTCAAAAAACTTCCAGAATTCCACCAAGTCCATTTGGTCCGAAGTGCAAATCTTCAAACATCTCCCTCGTAACCGTACCGCCCGGCAGACCTCCTATTTCCAAGACTCAGCCCCTTTTTGTGATCATGGATGTTGTACACCAGGCTCTCCAGGACCAACCGGTGAACCAGGCCGACCAGGCCGTCCAGGCCGTCCAGGAGTACCAGGAATGCCTGGAAATCCAGGAAAACCACCTCAACAACCATGTGATTTGGTGACTCCGCCCCCTTGCAGTCCTTGCCCGACGGGACCGCCCGGAAAACCTGGACCACAAGGACCGCCTGGAGAAATAGGACATCCTGGGAATCCTGGAGAAAGAGGATTAGATGGAGAACCCGGAGAACCCGGACCACCAGGTGAGACGGTTTAGAACTGACTGTTTTGGAACTAGTAACGCTTTAGAACTGATAATTTCTCTATTGGACGTTCAAAAACTAGTTATTTCGCAACCAGAGCATTTTAAAATCGAACCATTTCGCAACTAGACTTTTAGAACTAGCCATTTCAAAAACAAACTTTCTAGAACTGAACCATTTCGCAACTGGATATTCTAGAATGAGTAGTATCGCAACCGGACGTATTACAACCGACTGTTTCGCAATTACACGTTTCAGAATTAGTCATTTCGCAACTAGACGTTTTAGAACTGAACTATTTAGTAATTAGACGTTCCAGAACCAGTCATTTGGCAGCTAGAACCGACCACATACCAACCGGACGTCCTAGAACAATCTATTTTGCAACTGGACGTCCTTGAACATTCTATTTCGAAACTAAACGTTCTAGAACTATCCAAAGTGCAACTAGACGTTTTAGAACTAGCCATTTTGTAAAAAGACGTTCTAGAACTGGCTATGTCGCAACTAGACGTTTTAGAACTGAAACAACCCCTAAAAGCGGTCATTTCGCAACTTTGGCGTAATTTTCCTCAATTTTCTCAAACTTTTCACTTTCTAGTACTCAAAACCCTCAAATTCCAGGTCCACCAGGGGAACCAGGTCTACCAGGATCACAAGGACCACCAGGACAGCCAGGAATCAATGCAGAACCAGTGGAATTCACCCAAGGAGAACCAGGACCACCAGGAGAGGCGGGACCACCTGGTGCGCCAGGAGAACCAGGGGAGATTGGAGAAGACGGTCCACCAGGACAGCCAGGACCAAAAGGACCACCCGGACAGTCGGGAATACCTGGAATGGATGGTCCGGTGGGGAGAAGAGGGCCGTCTGGACAACCAGGACCACCTGGAGAGAGAGGAATATGTCCAAAGTACTGCGCTATTGATGGTGGCGTCTTTTTTGAGGATGGATCCAGGAGATGAACTGCTTTTTAGGGGATTTTTGAATAAAAAATTGATTCTTTGGGATTCATATTTTTGTATAAAAATCAATAAATGGACAAATAAAAAGAGAAATAATTTTAACAAAGAAGTCAAAAAATGAAAATGAAAATACAGATTTCTAGAGATCCTTGCTTCTTGACCATCAGACTTTGTATCTGGCCTGTGTGCCTCCTCGTTGGATTTGGGCGGTCTGGAAAAAAATACCGATTATGGATTTTCAGCCATTTTTCGTGATTTTCAGGTTATTTTAGGTCCATTTTCAGAAAATTTAAATATTTTTACAAAACATTTCCAACCGATTTTCGGACCAATTTGAGCCAATTTATTATTACTTTTTGGGATGATTTGTTGGAATTTCCAAAAAAAATGTTCATGATTTTTCCTCTCGTTTTTAGCCAATTTCAGCCAAAATTTTTTGAGTTTCAAAGGCTCATTTTCAGACGATTTCGATTTTCTAGAGGATCAAAACTGGTAGATTTTCAGCTGGTTTGAGCCATTATTCGGCTCATTCTCAGCCAATTTCCCTTGAATTTCAATCCCATATCCCCATATCACTTACCAATTGTCTAAACGCCTCCTTCATAATTCGAATAATCTCCTCTTTGGCCGCTTTCAAATTCCTCTCACTTCTCGCCTCCAACAATAAATGCAGACGCCGCTCTCCAGCTTTCGGCTCCTTTCCAGGCGGTACGTGCACTCCTCGGACCGAAATTCCGACTTCGGCGAGTTCGGCCACGTGTCCGACCGATTCTCTCGAGCAAATTTTGTAGCGGACTTGTTGGGGGAAATCGTTGATGTCCCATTCCTCTTCGAAATATTCCCACGCTTCTTCTTGCTTCTCTGTTGGAGCCGCTTCTCCTGAAAAATAAGCAATTTTGATAGGATTTTCCGGGGTTTCAGGATTTTCAGCCATTTTCAGCAAAATGTGATGTGATTTTCAGTTAAAATTGTGCCTATTTCGGGTCGTTTTTGGTTTTTTTCCTGGGGTTTTGCGCAGTATCGACTTGTCACAGCGATATTCGGAAGGATCACAATACTCTGAAAAATATATCAACAAAGACACTACGAGTAGTCTACGACCTCAAAATTCGAAACATAATCGGAAGCGAAGACTTCTACAAATTTAACATGATAATTCGATAACATTTATTGTATTTTGTTTGTTTTTGTTTAATAAACTTCTGTATAATCCGAAATTTTCTCAAAAATCAATAAATTGTCAAAGAAACGAGCAAATATAACTAGAAAACATCCTAATCTAACTAGACGACATGCGAATCTACCTCGGCGATATGCGAATCTAGCTAGTCGGCTTGTCGATCTAAAGCGGTTGCGTTAGAACATAGAATTAGCTAGTTTAGATTTGGTTAACTTCTAATTAGACGTAAAACGATTTCACTGAGTCCATGTTTTTTTTTGTATAAAACTATGCTCAAAAATGCCAAAGGTTCTCATTTCGGCTCATTTTTCACAAAATGTATATTTTTCCTCATGAAAAAAAATGGCTTACCTCCCAAATAATTGAGCTTCTCATTTAACCTCTGCGCCTTCTCCTTTGCCAGCATAGCCGTACTAATCTGAACCGGCGCCACGTCTTTTCCACGAATCACAGCTTCTGCCGTCAACTGGGTAGCCGTTTTTTCGATTGGCTGAATCGTGTTTTGAGCCGTTTTTAGACGAGAACTAATTTCTTCGGCCTTCAGCTTCGCCGCATCCTTTCTCTTCTCCGCTTCTCGATCGGATTTCGAATTTCCAGACGTCGTCGGTTTCTCTGATGTCGGTTTTCCGTGCACGACTCGTCGTTTTGTTTTGATCATTGACGATAATTGCTCATCCAGATCGTCTTCGTCCTCACCGCCAGCTTCCATTCCGTGCACCTGAAAATAATAAAATTTTAGGGGTGGAAAGGGACAGAAAATGTTTTTGGTTAAAAATGACCATATAGAACTACTGTAATCCAAAAACGACTAGACATTTCGTTGAAACTAGAAATTTTTTCCAAAATTTCAGTGATTACGGCAATTTAAAGTCATTTTTCTCCAATTTTTCGCTATCCCAATCCTTACCAATCTCGCCATTTTCTTCTTATTCGCATCCGCTTCAGCCTCTCCCTCATCGTATTTGTATCCGTGTCCTTCGAATCCTTTCCCTCCCAAGTGCACCTGCTTTCCCTCAGCCTCCATTTCCTTTTTAAACCTCTCAAACATGGCTTTTAGATCCGCAGGTGGCTTAACTCCAGCAGTTTCGAAAGCTCTGCAGATCTCTCCTGCCATTTTTTCCTGATGTTCGGGTAGTACGAAGGTGTAGGCGTATCCCTTCCGTCCAGCTCTTCCAGTCCGTCCAACACGATGCACATAATCTTCGTAGTGATTCGGACAATCGTAATTGACTACTAGAATCAGATTCTTAACGTCGAGACCTCTGGCGGCTACTGATGTGGCGACTAGCACTTTGATCACTCCTGTCTTGAAGTCGGCAATCGATGAATCTCGATCGTGTTGATCAATTCCTCCATGCAGAGGGGCCACTGAGTTATATCCGGTCTTCATGAGCTGGTCAACAATATCATCGGCCTTCTCCTGCTTATCAACGAACACAATTGAGCATCCTTGCTCATAGTACATTCCGAGAAGCTCTAGGAGCTTCAGAAGCTTCTGATGCTCTTCGCAGATCACGGCGTTTTGGGTTACATCCGAACAGACGACTGATTTTCCGCCGACGAGAATTTCGACGGGTTTATCGAGAACTTTCCGTGCCAAAGCTTCCATGTGACGAGGGAATGTGGCGGAGAAGAGAACGGTTTGCTTGTCGGGGCGAATGTTGTTGACCACTTTCATGATCTGTAAAAAATAGATAATTAGGATCTAGAACTTTTAATCAATTTTAAGCCATTTCAGACGATCTGTGAGCTATTCAATTCTTACCTGTGGCTCAAAACCCTTATCAAACATTCGATCGGCTTCATCCAGTACCAAATACGTCACTCTCCTCAAATTGGTCACTTTCCCACTATTCGCAGCCAGCACATCGATCATTCGGCCAGGCGTACAAACCACAATCTCGGCGCCACGTTTCAAATCAGCAATCTGTTCGGAGATTCCCACACCACCGTAGGTACAAGCTACACGGAGACCCAGAACCTTTGCGAACTTGTTAGCCTCCTTGTACGTTTGCATAGCCAGCTCTCTGGTTGGCGCTAGAATCACTGCGATGGGTCCATCGCCCTCCTCAAGCTCAGGTTGATCAAGAATGTGACGGAACATTGGTAGAAGGAAGGCGAGCGTTTTTCCAGAACCGGTTTTTGCAATTCCAATCACATCTCTTCCTGACATAATCGCTGGGATAGCTTGAGCTTGAATCGAGGTGGGCTTTGAATAATCCAGCTTTTTCAAGACATTCATCATTTTGAGATTTAGACCACATTGAGCGAACGTTTTGATTGGTTTTGGGCAATCGATTCCTTTGACGGTGATGCTGTCCAGCTCCTCGCGGTACGCTTTCACTTCGGCTTTTGTCATTTTTTGGATTTCGGCAGTCTGGAAATTAATAATTGCGAATGTTCATATGGAAAACAGCTTTAAGAAAGGACCTCAACCACCTGAAACCGACCAAAAACCTGTTTTTGGGACTTAAAATGATTGAAATTAGCTCAAAATTGATTGAAATTTTCAAATCCAATCGTCAGTTGTAGTGTTTGCTCACAATTGAAACTACCGTAACCCGACAAAATGAAAAATATATTCCAAGCTGAAAATGGGAGATTTTGATAGTTATTAGGGTGGCGCATGCTGGAAATGAGATAATTTCGTGGTTCATGACCACTTTTATCATTTTAAATCAATTTTGAAATGAGATTTGATAATATCAAGACTTTTTTTCAGCCAAGTTAGCTCCATTTCAGCATGATTGCTAGTGTTTTCTGGATGTTTTCAGACTATTTCCAAGTCATTTCAGACAGCTTTAAGGCGACTTCAGACACTTTACAGCTTAAAAAACCCATGTCTTACCTCAATATAAAAATTTTTCTTGAATTTCCGATAATAGACTTTTGAATGATCGGTTTGTGCCAACATCCGTCCCTTATGACACAACGAAGCAGCAGCAGTTTCAATATCGAAATCATCAATGACCATATCCATATTATCCTCGTTTTCCAGCACTTGTCCCTTCTCTTTCTCCGGTTTTTCTTCTTGGATGATAGTGACGATTCCTGATATCTGATTAACTGGATTTTTCGATTTTTTCGCGTTCTGGGACGAAATTTGAGCCATATAGGCTTCCAGAGGGTCCTCATCGTCGTCGTCTACCTCCATTTTTTCTGTTTTTTCCGGCTTTTTCGTCGTTTCTTCTGGGTTTTCAACCGATTTTGAGCCATTTGAGCCTAAATCAAACTCATCTTCGTCATCCTCGTCTTCTAGATTCCACGCCTTCTTTTTGGACTTTTTATCATTTTCTTCCTGTTGTTCAGACGCCTGATCCAGCTCTTCCTTCTTCTTTTTGGCCCTCCAAAGCTCCACGTTCCGCCGGCGACGCTCCATTTCCTTCTCCAAATCGAATTGCTTCATTTCGATGACGTCGTTGACATCTGAAATTTTTTCCAATTTTCGGCCTTTTTTCGTCCTATTCAAAAATCCGGTGCCTCGAGCGAGGATCGAACTCGGGTCTATCGCTTCACACCCCGGCGTGTAAACCAGTGCGCTCTTCGATTGACAAAAATCTTTGTTGTTTTTGATATATAAAATTCGAAAATTATTTGCTTTTTCAAAATTCAAATGAGCGTAAATTTCTGAAAAGTGTTAATAATTTACCGTGTTTCCTCTAATAAAAGCTCATTGGCTTCTATTTTTTTAACCTCTTTCTCAGGGTGGGCTTCTATTAGAGATGGGCTTTAGTTAGAGGAGATGGTTTCTATTTTTCAATTTTATATTTTCAAAAAAAAAAATGATTTAAAAAATCCGAAATTTGACAATTCGGGAGTTAAGAATTCTGAAATTCAGTGTTTTGAATCATTCGAAATTTTCATTATGCAATTCTAAATTCCAAAATTCCTAATTTATGAAATTCTGAGATTCCAGGATCTCAAAATTCAGAATTCTGGAATTCAGAGAAAAAAATCTAAAATTCAAAAAATTTGAGATTCAGAAATTGAGAAATTGTCGAGTTCTAAAATCACAGTTCCGAAAATTCTGGAATTTTGAATCAGCGTATTTTCTCCAATACAAGCCCATGGGTTTCTATTGGAGTGTGGGCTTCTATTAGAGGAAATGCGGTATACTAGAATCAAGATTTTTGAGTTTCTGGTTCTAAAAAATTTTTTTTGATTTTAAGAATATTATAAATTTATAATACTTCAGAAAATTTTGGAATACCGAAGATTATTTCTGAATTGGGATAATTTTTGAAATTGGCGCCGAAATTCAGGTGGAAGGTTAACAATGCGATTTTGCCTAAACCTATGATCGTAAACAAAAAAAAACGAAACAAATTTAAAACAAATTTTCACCGAAAAATGTGAGAATCTTACTGATTTTCGCTAATTTCGGTACTTTTTTTACTGGAATTTTCATTTTTTGAAAAAAAATTATAGGCCTTCCCTTTCATTGGGCTATTCGAAAAATGGTGCCAAGAAAATTATTCGATTCTTCCTAAAATAATGTGTTCTCTTGAAAAATCTGTAGTTTCTAACTGTGTAGCATGCCTTTGTTCAAATATATACATTGCAATTTCAAATTTTCTTATTTTTTTTATGTCCATACTATTGCTGTCTGAAAAATTAAGGTTAGAGAGAATTTTTACAGGGAGCCTTGCTTCTAGATGTCAGCTGATTTAGGGTGCTAAGCCAACTTTTTAAAAGCTGAAAGTACTTTTAAGGGCAAACAAGAGTTCAGAGGGAAGGGTTGCTATCCGAGAGAAATTCGACTTATTCCTCTTCTATGCCGCGTAAAGTTGATTTCCAGGAGTAATTTCCTGGAAAAACGCTGTCCAAAGCTGCGATTATTTTCCAGATTTACAGCAACAGTAAACTACTGTATCACTCGTTTTGACTGTGTTCTTCCTGGTGATTCATGCCGATTTACGGCGGGTCTCGAAGCGGAGGCCTCTGGAAAACAATGACAGCTTTGGACAGCGTTTTTCCAGGAAATTACTCCTGGGAAATCAACTTTGAACGCGCCACTAGTTTTGATGGGAATAAATTCGAATCCACACTAAATTGCTTCAGTAATACTACTGTGGATCCACGTTCCTTTTTTTATCTCCCTCCTTTTTTTTGAAATGTCACGGAAAACACGGCCTCGCGGAAGGGAACCTAGATTTAAAAATTGGAGAGCGCGCCAAGTTTGGACGCATAGCGCGGTCGCGTCGCGGCTTTCCGGTGAGTAGCGACTCAACAACGTTTAGCTTCACGTTTTTTCAAAATTTTCGAATCTGGCACGCGGCCAACTTTTGTGTGCGACGAAGCGCGCGTTTTTCAGGTTCCCAACCGCGATGGCGTGGGAAAAATATAATTTTGTTGTCCTGAGAATCAGAAAACAGAAACTAGGAACAATACACGTGAAGAAAACCTCCCCCACAAAAAAAAATTAAAAAGCCTTTTGCATCCTCATGTAGAAATACGAGCTCTCGAGCTTTGGAGGGGGCGGAACGTGGAGCTTTGAACGGCCAAAAAGAAGGACGAACTGAATCTGACGTCTGAGCAACAAGAGGAGAAGGATAAAAAGTCCAATTTATTTTAGTTATTTTAGACAAAAACCCCCATTTTAATGTTTTTAAGCCTAGTTCTTACCATTACTACTCTCTTCCATCTCAAAAACCGCTGATTTGCTTGCTTCCTTCTCTTTTTCCTTCTGCTTCTGCCTGTCTGCGTCTCTCTGTTTACCACGATCTCTCCTATCGTAATCCCGGTCCCGGGAGCGATCTCGACGCCGTCTTTCATGGTGGTCCCGACGTGGAGAACGGCTTCGGCTCCTTTTCCGCTCTTTGGAACGGGATCGATGACGCTTGTGCTCTTTGTGATCGCGGCCCATTTGGAATTGGCTGAAAATAAGAAAATTTTCGTTTCGGGAAAAGAAAACAAAGAAATTGAGTGATTTTATGCAAAAATTCGAAACAAATCCCAAGAATCTAGAAGAAAAATTTAGCTTCTAGGAAAATTACACAATCAAAAGCAAAATTTTCAAGAAAATTTGGTTCTAAAACCTTCGTAAACTAGAGGATTCCCATCAAAAACCATTGCCAAAACTTTCGAAAATAAAAAAAAACTACGACACTCCGCATATCCCGCCTGGGCGCCTTGTTTAGCGACTGCCCGAAATAGGAGCGAAACCACCCAATTTGAATTTCGATATTATTGTCGGATCAAAAAAAGTGACACCTGAAAATCTCGGAGACGGCGCTCGTGTCGATTTACGAGGGGGCGGAGCGAAAACGGATACTGTAGATAATGCCGCGTTCAAAGTTGATTTCCAGGAAAAATTTCCTGGAAAAACGCTGTCCAAAGCTGCCACTTTTTTCCAGGTTTTCCAGCTACTGTCGCAACGAGTATTATCGTAGTTTGCCTCGTTCGTTTCGAGACCACCGACCTCGCACGATTTACGGCTATAATTTGCTGTTTTTGCTGGAAATTTTTCGAGAAAATATGGTTTCCGATGAAGAAAATGTTTAAGAGATCAAAGACATTTGTGAGTAGCTTGTATTTCTGATGAATTATTCTTTTTCGGTTTGTAGGTGACATCGTCACGGTTGTGACAGCAGTTATCCGAAAAAGGAAAAACTCAAACTCTGAGTCTCAAAGTGAGTTGATTTACCATTTTTATTCAGAGAAAAGTGGCAATAGCTTCGGTAAAGGACATCAAAAATCAATCAAAAGCAGAGAAGGAATTTGCTGCAAAACTTGAAACAATCCGATTGGTGAGTGAGAAAATATCTATCCGGCAAATTAATTAATAAAACTCGTTCAACTTCTCATTTCGTTTATTTTCTAGAAGACCGATTCTTAGAAATAATGATGTTCAAAAATGTCTAATTGTGATACAACTAATTTCTAGCTCCGTATCAAAATAGCTCAAAGCTTTTGTTAAATTGTGTAGAGAACAGAGAAATAGTTAATCTTAGTCAACACAAGCAGCAACATAGAATAGCCATACAGCATGCACCCGCACAGCAATCGCTGAAAAAATGTGATATCAAGGGAACTCGTATACAAACAAACTCTGCACGAGATCCTCCTCCGTTTTGAACTACGACAGTTCCTCCTGGTTGTTGAACGCAGGGTTGAGCATAAGCAGGCTGACCGTAGACCGGAGCTCCGTATGGCGAAGCGTGTACAACAGTTGGAGTATGGCATTAAAGTTATTGTACATAGCACTCATTTCACACCTCCACAGCTTCTGGAATTTCATTAAACCACTGACAATGTTTGTTGAAACTTTTCAATTTTTCGAAGTTGTATCTCTTTTTTGCTTTGATTTTCAGCCCTTTTTCCTCTTTTCCAATTTTTCTCTTTTTGAACTCTTTCCTTTTTCGGATAACTGTTGTCACAACCGTGACGATGTCACCTACAAACAGAAAAAGAATAATTCATCAGAAATACAAGCTACTCGAAAATGTCTTTGATCTCTTCCACATTTTCTTCATCGGAATCCATATTTTTTCGAACAATTTCCAGCAAAAACAGTCAATTATGGCTGAAAAACGTTAAAAAACTTTGGAAAATTGCGTTAAAAAAAGCCCGTAAATCGTGCGAAAGCCCGTAAATCGTGAAGAAATTCGACTTATTCCTCTTCTATGCCGCGTAAAGTTGATTTCCTAGGAAAATTTTCCTGGAAATCAACTTTGAACGCGGCATAACGGCATTATTCATGTGAATTTAGTGGGATTTTCTGAACAAATTTTTGATTTCTTGATATAAAAATGATCGCTAGCATCTCTAGAAACTATTTTTAAGCAAAAAACTAAAATTAAACACGAAAGTAGCTCGAACGAGC